CACTCTCCCAGCTCAGGGCCTGTGCACTTGCTCTTCCATCTGCCTCTACAAAACACTCGTATCCCAGGTATCTTCAGTGCTTCGTCCCTCAATTCCTTCAGGTCTCTGCTCAAAGGTCATCTCATCAGAGACGCCATCCCTGACCACTTTCTATAAAACAGACCCCTATTATGATCAATTCCTCTAACCTGCTTTGCTTCCCTTCCTAGCACTTATCACCATCTAAGTCAGCGGTTATCAACCTGTGGGTCGCTACCCCTTTGGCGGTTGAACGACCCTTTCACAGGGGTTGCCTAACACCATCCTGCATATCAGATATTTACATTATGATTCATAACAGTAGCAACATTACAGTTATGAAGTAGCAACCAAAATAATCTTATGGTTGGGTCACATGAGGAACTGTATTTAAAGGGCCAGAAGATTGAGAACCACTGATCTAAGTTATTATGTACTTCTTGATTGATTTACCGTTTGTTTTCCCAAACTAGGAATGCAAGCAGCACCAGGGTAGGGACTTTGTTCTATTCAATAGTGAATCTCAATGTTAGGATCAAAGCCTGGTATATAGTGCCACTTAAGACATATTGGTTGAATGAATGAGTGTGTATTCTTAGTGGCTTAAGAAAAGATCTGACTAATTCTTAATATTTGTGATCTTAAAAGACATTTTATATAACCAAGTGGAAACAAACATATGCATTTATAAAACTAAAGAGTAAAAGTTTAATTTCAGAGTTTCACCCCATTATTTAAGAGGTTATTCACATGAGATGTTTTCTGTTAGGCGTTTTCTGTTTCCTTTCTAGAATAATGGCCAGACACCTTAAGAAAAAGCACACAAAATGACTAAAAGTAATTGTCCTTGACAAAAGTAGGGTGGGTAAAGAGAAGGGGGATTGATATACCATGACCTGATAAATATACTAGTGTACTTTCTTTTAGTAACTTACCAGGTATTGCCTTATTTAAAATTATGCCTGTTGAGTTCAACATCACTAATCATTGGGAAAATGCAACTTAAAACCACAATGAGATATCACCTCACACCTGTCAGAATAGCTATCACTAATAAATCAACAAACAACAAGTGTTGGTAAGGGTGTGGAGAAAAGGGAATTCCTGCACTGTTGGTGGGATTGTAAATTGGTGCATCCACTATGGAAAAGAATACGGAGGTTCCCCCAAAAAATTAAAAATAGAACTACCACATGACCCTGCAATTCCACTTCTGGTCCTTTATCCAAAGAAATCCAAAACACTAATTTGAAAAGACATATACACTTCCTATGTTTTTTTTGCAATGAAATATTATTCAGCCACAAAAAAAAGAAGGAAATCTTGCCATGTACAACAACATGGATGGACCTAGAGGGAATTATGCTAAGTAAAATAAGTCAGACAGAGAAAGACAAATACCAAACAATTTCACTTATATGTGGAATCTACAAAACAAAATAAACAAACAAAACAGAAACAGACTCATAGATACAGAGAACAAACAGATGGGAGGGAGTTTGGGGGATGGGTGAAAAAGGGCAAGGGATTAAGATGTGCAAATTGCCAGTTATAAAAATAGTCATGGGGATATAAAGTAGAGCATGGAGAATATAGTCAGTAATATTGTAATAAGTATGTATGGTGTCAGGTGAGTACTAGACTTACTGGGGTGATCACTTTGTAAGTTACATATATATCTGATTGCTATGTTGTACACCTGAAACTAAAATAATATTGTATGTCAACTATAATTAAAAAGTCAAAAAAAAAATTTTAAATTACGTTTGTCCATGTCTCACTTTCCACTGTATAAGCTTCTTATGTATATGGCCCATCTTACACATCTTTTTATTCTCCTATAATTTCTATCTGAATGTGTTGCAAATAGTAGATAATCAGAAAACACATTTATGTAATGAAAAATACCTATAGGTATCAAATTTTATATATATATATATACATATATATATATATATGCACACACACACACACATACTCTCTGAATATATATCTTATATATGGTAGTAAAATAAGTTTCTAAATTATCATTGCCTTGCTAGACCACACTTGCTTGTTGACAAAAGTGATAAATCTTCATAAAATTTAAGAAAGGGGAACAGAGAATTTTGAAATATGTCCCAAGACAAACTGTGCTAAAAAGACTTTGCTTTAATTAGCGACAGCTTCATTGCAGGACATGAAAAGCAGGACCTTTCCATCTGAAAAGCCCACAACTGTAAAAAAAAAATTTTTTTAAATGATGCAACTACTTCAGCCTAGACGTGCCAACTGAAATGATCTTCGTACGCTATCCAAAAAATTACCTATACTCTGATAGGTTTATGGGAAAATACCCTGTGTGTACTCCCTTAGGTTACTTTCAGAAAAGACAGACAGGCCTCCTAGGCAGATGTACCAGGAAGCTGACAAAGAGCAAGCTTCCAACCCTCCCTTGCCAGGAGGAAGACCCAGCAACAGCTCAAGGATTCTTCTCCTTAAGAGTCCACACCCCACCCCGCCTGACATCCACAACTGCATACGCTTCAGGTACATAAAACCTGGACCCATGCCTGCCAGTCCTCCATTAGATTATGAATATTAAGAAAACTAGGCTAATCGTTTGCAAAAAGGATCCAAAATTCATTTACTAATTTCCAGCATCTCTCTCAATAGCCCAAGCAGAGTGAGAGGCACGTGGGGGTCTAAAGGCGCTTCTCTTTGCAGCATCCAGTTGCGATTTTGTTTTTCCCACCCAGGATGCAAAGTTAACTCTTGGAAACCATAAATAGGTAAAAGATAAATAGATTTTCATTAAATGTGTACATATGTAATCCTAGGTAGTTATTACTCATAAAAATCAAGTAACGCACGGTAGGGAAACCAGACCGCTAGCGTTTAGAACCTAATTTCAATACTAACTAAAGTGTCCTTCGTGGTGCTAAGCGTAACAGGTGACAATAAATCCCACCCGTCTTCATTCCTAAGTCGTCCCAGTGGTGTTGTATCACAAAACTAAGCGGTGCAACCAGAAGTTAATTGTGTGATTTAATCAAGGAATTACAATAAATCGTATCCGGTATTCCCTAGATTAGGAACCATTTTTGACACGAAGATCAAACCAAACCAAAAACCCTGCTGTCATCTCGGCTTTTGGCTACTGACGTTCTCAAAATCGAGTACGTAGTGATTTCTTAAAAGCCACAGAGAGAATTTGGGGTGAACGGGAGGGTATCCATACAATCATAGCCCTTCCTATCCCCACCCCTCCGTGTAGGACGCACTAAACTTTTCGTTGGTAGATAAAATGGTACTAATACCTGGTAAATTTTTTAAAGTGTGGCAGCATGTGTTATTAGCTGAGCTTACTCTACCAATGGCTTTGCTTTGAAATGCTCTCCCCCCCCCCCTCTCCACCAAAGGCGTCCGGACGTGGGGGCGCGAGTGGGGGACAGACAAGTTGCAGGCGACCCATTCCCTCTGCCCCCTCCGAGTCCCTCCATCTGGGAATGGTCCCCGGCCGCTTCTCCAAGGAGAGGCGCCGGCGGCCCGCGGCCTGCCCTTCCCTGGAGGAGACAGCCTTCGTCAGGTTTCCTTGGGGGAACCGGGCCATCGGGATAAAGCCACGATGGGAAGCAAAAAGGTGGCCACTGCGCACTTGCACTAAGATGCAGCCGGTGCCCAGCCCTGGACGGGCCCCAGCGGAGGGGGAAGGGAGCGTCGCCACCGAATCCCAAGAAAGGCCGCGGGACCCACCTCCGGCTCCCTCCCGCTCCCGCCCTCGGCCCCACCCCCCCTTCCAGCACAAAGCCGCCCCGAAGGC